TTGCCCCCCAACCCAAAAACCCCCCCCCCCCCAAAAAAAAAAAAAAGTGCAAAGAAAGGAAAAGAAGGAAACCACATAGTAAGATCTAGGTAAGTAAAAAAAAAGTATATTATTGATTTAGGTAGTATTTATCTACCAACCATCCATTTTCCTCTACAGCAGCAGATGATGTACGATGTAAATATAACAGAAAATTTCCTTCTATGTCAATTTCAATAAATATCTATTAAGTGCCTGGTAAATGCCAGGCATTGGGCTAGGCTGAATAACAGTGTTTCTACTTAATAGAATTTATATTCTAACTCAGAAGTCCAAAACATAGACAAATAATGATGATGGAATGGGCTAAGTACCATCATATAATTTTACGTACCCAGTGCCATGGGATCCTTGTAGAAGGAGGCACATAATTTTAATATAAATTAAATCTTGAGCCAGGAGGATCAGTCTGATCTTGATAAAAATTGAGACCCTAAGGTACATACAACCTAAGTCAACAAATATTCCTCCCTGTGGTTTCTAAACATCTTTAGGATCCAAATAGAATCATTTTTCTTGTGCTCACTATTTTACATGATACAGGAAGATGTTAAATAACTCAATGTGGTTTTCACAAGTGGTCTTTCCTGTTTGCTGGTTATGATTGTCCTTCCAAAATAATGACTATTTGAAATTATAAATCAAAGATTTGCTTATATGTTGTGAAGGAGAATGTCTCTTCTGTGAGATAAAATCTTGAGCCTCAATTATATGCTAGTACAGAAACAGTAGATTAAATCTGGATAGCAGCTGTAAAATAAAATATGTGTAGAATTTAATCTTGTGGAAATTCAAATATGATATGGGAAAAATGCAAAGTTTAAATAATGAAAGAAGATATAATTTTATTATTAATAGATTTCTAATACATAAATTTGAATTATTTTATTTTATTAACAGTATTCTTTAAGGAGTTTATAGGTTGTGCTTTGTCTAACTCTGCCACACACATGGCATTTAACATGTTGCCTTGCACATAGTTGGTACTCAATCCTTATATGTAAAATTAAATGTAAAATTATTAGAACTCCCTGATCTTTTACCAAATATTCATGTCTTTTTAAAGGTAAGACACGAAGGAAAAAAAAAAGAAAAAAAAGAAGAAAAAACAAAAAGACCAAAAAAACCCAAAAACCAAAAACAGAAAAAGAGGAAAAGATAACAGAAAAAAACAAATAACAAAAAACAAAGAGATAATGCTAAGACACTATTAGTTTGCCTTGCGTTTCTCAACTTAATCAGATATCACTGTTCCAAGAGGACTGCCTAAAAATGGGGCCTAGTCTACAGGTAAGCTTTCACCTCTGAAATAGCAATAATTCTTTTACTTGGCCTCTCTGACCATAGTGATCCTTTTTTTTTTTTTTTTTTTTTTTTTTTTTTAAAAA